GCAAAATCGTGCAGCCCTACTGCACAATATACATAGAGAAACACTCAAACTGCAGATTTATGAAATAAAAGAAAGACTTCCTGCACTTTTAAATGAGTATGAAGTTGCTGTGGAGGATGTGGACTTTGAAGTTTGGACTCAAGGTCACCTACTTTGTTGAAAAAGGAAGTTGATCTTAATAGCTTGTGCCCTTGTGAGCTCTGCAGAGTTCCTTTTACATTTCTTCCTTTCAGAGCACTTGAATATGAAACATGGCGTTTTTACTTCTTAGTTACATGGAGTTCAGTTCATCTTCGATAATTATTACTAAAAGTCTAAACCTGACTGCAGTGTAAGACACACTGTCCTTGAATAGTTTGGTTCTCATCCTGTTTACTAGTTGTTGATCATAAAAATATCTCTGATTAAAATGAGCACAAGTAAGCTTCTGTTTAAGTATGTAAGCCTGAGGGGACTGATTTTGATAGTTGGTGCTATATAAATAAAACTGACTTTCATTTAATTTTCTTGATTCAATGCACTTGTGCACTGATGCCATACCATGCAGTAGGTGCATCTACTAAAAATCTCGGATGAGTCCCAAAATCAGTGATATGCTTGTGAAAACGATAAATGTCATATATTATGTTCAATTTTATAACATTTACTCAGGGGTTGCAATGGCAGCTCCCTGTATTTTTGGATAAGTGGATTCATCAGTCCTTCTGTAAACCTTCAGTCTACTGTATCATCATTATTATTATTATTATTAGGAATCCAAATTAACTTCCAACAAGGAGGTTAAGGTTTTTGTGGTGCTTGCATGTGTCTGTCATTCTGTCTTGAAAAGCTTGAAAAGTTTTGAATGAATAAAACTTTGATAGAACTTTGTAGCGGTGTAAAGTGAGGTCATGTTAATAAACAATACAAATTTGTCTCAAGCCCTTCAAGGTCATCATAATGATTTATTGGCTAATATATTGCTCTCCTTTAAGGTAAGTAGAGCCAAAGGTCAAAGTGAAAATAATGCTACATGTAGCTATTTAAATGACAGTGGGTTACAGGAGTGTAGTTGATTAATTTTCTTATAGCTTTGTTATGTACATTACCGTAACAGGTTATAACTGTTTAAATAAATAGCTGCCACACATGAGCTACATCCACTTTAAGGGAAAATAATAAAAATAAAAACTTAAAATGAAGTAATTGTATATTAAATTGGGGTTCGACAGGGCAAATAGGCAAAGTCTGCACTTTGCACTAGTTTTTACTGCACTGCAAACATAAAAGTACTTAAAGTATGTTTAAAAAACAAAGAAAATAAACTTCAGTTACCTTAAAAGCAAATGCTGCACAGAGATGACTCTGCCTTGGCAGAGGTTTGTGCTCTCTGAGTGCTTCTTGTTTGTTTTGTTTTCTTGGTTTATGTTTCACATAGAAAATAATTTCCAATCTTAGCCACTCTCACTGATGGAATAAAGCAGAGTGGTGAACTTGGAGTTCTTCCTTCCTGAAACATCAGTCAACAGATCTCAAAAGGTTATTTATAGACCACAGTCCCTTAACGATGCAACTCAAAGTGCTTCACAGAAAGATGCATCAATAAAGCTTGTTTCGGACATTACCGGCGCACATTATCCCCCCACATTCCTGCACAGTTTAAAGCTAGACTGAAAATGTTCTGCAAGATTATTCTCAAGTCCAACCTGCACATCAGCTGCCATACCTTTTAGTCTGCTCCGTCGCCTGATATGGAGAGAATTTAAAGAAGTGTCCTGTGCTTGGACACACTGTAAAAATTGATGCAGTCTAGGGCTGCCACGATTAGTCGACTAGTCACGATTACGTCGACGATTGACTGATTTAATAGTCGACGCCTCGTTTGAAGCTTTGTAAGATCACAAAAGAC